AGTACCATGCTGTTTTTATCACAGTAGCTGATAGTGAATTTTTAATATATGAATTTTTGTAGCTAGCACACATCGCTTTATTAACAAAATCACTTAACAAAAATATTCCCAGTCATCTCTTTTGAAAATATCTCTCCACAGTATGGCTTTCTTCAAAAAAGAGAAAATGTGTGCTATGCCATCAAAACTGAATTTCTAGTTTAGAAAGAAAAATTGGAGTTTTCATCCATTGTCATAATAATTCCCTTACCTTGATGTGACAGACCAAATGTGTGTTTATTATTTCAAATAACAAGGTTTAATATCACTGAAAGGCATTTGTAACTACAATTAAAGTAAATATAATTCATGAATGAAAAATGTATAACTAGCTTTAAATTTGACAGTTTTTTTTAGTAATTTGTAGAAAGTAAAAACAAACTTTAATATATCACAAAATATTTTCACCTCATTCTACACCTCAGTTCAAAATGACTGTAAATATTTTTTTAATTTAAATCATATCACCCAGAAATCCATGCAAGTAGGACCAGATAAGCTGTGATAAATTAAAATAAGCTAAAAGTAAGAATGGGACAAGGGGTCACCTTGAACCCTTGAATTAGGTGAAAATCTAACTAAACAATTATTAAAAAGGTCCAGGATCAATAATGTATGTATTACATACCAAAGATTAGTTTCATTCTGTATTTTCAATTTTTAAAATGAATATATATCAAAGTTGAAATCATTCCTAAAACCCAGTGGACTGTTTTCTTCTACATTTCTAAAAATACACAAATTCCACTCAGGAAATCACTTGGTGTAGAATGGGGACTTTATCGTAATACTTTATTTTCTTTTTTTTCCCATTAAGTTTATTGGTACAGTTTAGGTATAAAATACAGTTACATTCATCATTGGGATCTTGTACCATTACATGAGTATGTTGGTTCTTATTTTTTTCCCCATTCCCCTGCCCTCCCTTCAACCACTCCACCCTTCCCTATTTGCAAAGACTTTGTTTCCATTTTGTCCTTTTC